AACAGAATGAATGAATATATATACCAGAATTATTGCAGCTGTTATTTGTTCATTCCATGAACATCACTTGAGCCTACTGTAAAGGTTAGAGGCTTAAACGAAGATGAATTGGCAAACTTTCTCTGTAAAAGGCCAGATAGTAAATATTTTCGACTTCATGAGCTGTATGGTCTCTGTTGCATATTCTCTCTACTGATGTTGTAATTTGAATGCATAAATGATATGTATAAGTATGAGCATGTCTGTGCCCCAGTAAGTGTCTTTGTTTGGGAACAACGGCAGTAGGCTATAGTTTGCCAACAGTTAGGTTAAAAAGTCAGAAAGATTGGTTCAAATCTCTGGTCATACTTGTTCGGTTCCAATGGTAATTTCACTCTGATAGCAAAGCATTCTCCTGGCCTTTTTGAAGACCTTTCTCTGTCTAACCTGATGTCTAACTGAATTATTATGGGATTAGAAAAAAACCAAATCTAGAGTCAAGAGTTCTTGATTTCACTGTGTCACCTCAGACAAGTCGTTTTGTATCTTTAAACTGGTGTCTTCCAGCAAAATAAAGCGAGGTGATTGGGATCTCTGACTAGACCTAAGCACCCTCTGGGTCCTGAGGTGCTGAAATTGCATAACTCCTGCTCATCAGGAACCATTGAGGGTGGGTGACCCTAGTAGACAGTGCACGGTGGCCTTGTGTCCGATCCTCAGGCAACAAGATAATCTCCCATCAGCCCACAAGTGGTGAGGAGAAACATGCCAGGGTCTCTTGGGGATAGGTCCAAGGATGAAATAAGTCATGTGAGATCATTTTCATGGTCATCAGCACTAATTCATTAGCTTCTTCATTAAATGAACAGAACACATGATCTAAGTATAAACCGCTGTGACAGAAAAAAAGGTGGCAGGAAAACTAGTGTAACTTCCCCCTGTGGGGCTGCCAGTTGATTGTTTCATAAGGTCGTCTCCTGTCCTGTGAAGACTGCTTTATTTGGATAGTGACTTGTTCCTCGCTTCCCCTACTCTCCATCACTCCTGTTGCTCTATCTCGACCAGAGACTACTCCTGACCTCCTGTAGCTGTTCCAGAGAACCTCACAGCAGTGGACAGTCTTCTTTCCATCCTATAGCATCTCAGGCACCTGCCATGTGCCACTGATCATGATGCCTAATCGCAACAGTAGTTCTTAGTAGAACAGGTAATGGTGAAGAGGATGGGAGCAAATCAGAAGCTTGTGCAACCACAAGGCTACCCTTAAAGATTCCAACATGCTCCCCAGAGGGACAGTCGTCTCAAAATCACATTGAGAATCATTGCCTAGAGCTCTGGCATCCCACTGAAGTATCCCCAGCCCAGCAGATGAGGTTGTTAGGTGTGACTTCAGCTCATAGTGACCCTGCAAGCCTGGTTGTCAAGCCTGGTTTGTTGAGGATCTTCCTCTCTTTCCCTCTGCTTCTTCCTTCATAGTCTTTTATCCAGTGACTGGCAACTCCTGGCAATATGTCCAAAGTGTGTAAGACCACATTTCACCATCCTTGCCTCTAAGGAGTAGCTCAGTTGCACTCCCTCTAAGACAGATTTGTTTGTTCTCTTGTCAATCAATGGTATATTCAGTACTCTTTGCCAACACCAGTAGATATTGCTCCTGGATTTTGGGTACAAATAGTGGTGTTGGAAGAGTGATCCATGAACACAGGCCTAGGGAGTTATCAGTGAGTAAGGGGCAAAAGGTCTGCATCTGCATCCTGCCAAAACCTATGGAAGGTGGGAGTTAGAACAGTGAGAGGCAGGGAAGTACTTACTGTCTCCCACACACCGTGTGACATTTCACTGTGGGAAGCAGAGTGACAACAGGCTTGATTTGGTAGATCCATCTTAATTATTCACTCTGCATGATCTCTTTATCCTCCGTTTTTTTCTTGGCAAACATGGAGTAGAGTGGGATGAGGGGAGGAGAGGAGTGTCTTGTTTAATTCCAGACAACCATGTTCACTTTCCCTTTGGTCTGAGGAAAACAGTCCACTCAGATGTGGTTAGAAGAATTTTCTTAGGACAGCACTTCTTATACTTTATTTCTTTTTTTATTTATTGGTTTACTTACAAAGTTTGGATACATTGAATTTCACACTATTCTTCACTCACATTGTGTTTCATACAATTATTCTTATTCATTATGTTTTATGAAATTAATCACCATTTGGCCTTGCCCATCATTACCCTGTCTTTTCGCCTGGATCCTTCCCATTTCATCCCGCCACTCCTTCCCCCAACCAAACTGTGCAGCCCTGTGATTTCACTCCTGTCCATCCTTAGCCCTATTCCTGCCCCCCCAGAGTTCCCATAAATGTTTTACTAGTTATAATTCTATTTTTACAATAATGGTCTTATGCAGTATTTGTCCTTATGAGACTGCGTTAGTCCATTCTGCATAATGCTTTCCAGGCTCTCCCAAATTATGTAGCTTTTTAAAAAATTGTTGCTCCTGAGTGCTACATAGTATTCCATTGTGTGAATGTAACACAATTTCTCAATCTGTTTGGTTGTGATTGGACAGTTGGGCTGTTTCCACGGAAACAGCCCAACTATACTTTATTCTTATCTACTGATTGCCTGGAAATGTTGCTAGAAGGCAGATTGTGATTCAGTCGGCTGAAGATGGACCTAATAGTATGCATTTCCCACAAGCTCCTCAGTGCTGCTGATGCTTCTCATATGTAATAGTTTGAGTAGTAGTAAGACCTGGAAAAAGTTTTATTTCTTCTTCATTCTGTTTGCTAATTAATTGAATCACCAAGCCCAAGACTCTCAAGGTCCCCTTTGGGAAGTTAAACTGTTAATGGCTCTCCTTCTCTTGGGCATTTTCACATGATCAAGTGAACCTGGAATCTTCTGTTTTAGTCTTATCAAAACAGAAGGCATTAAAACCACCATTTGATCAAGAAGGTTCCAGTTTCATTTTTATTCCAAATTATGTATTTAATGAAATCTCACTGTATTTCCTTACTTTCTAAAGGATATTGTAGTTTCCTATTGCTGCATAACAAGCAGCTTCTATGGGTCACAATTTAGGAGCAGCTCAGCTGGATGTTTCTGGCGTAAGGTTTTGTAAGAGGTTGCAGTCAACTGGTTGACGGTCTTCTCAGGGCTTGACTAGAGCTGGAAGAACTACCTTGAAGCCACATACCTGAGTCTTGGCAGAATTCCTCCATTTCTTATTAACTGTTAACAACCTCATTTCCTTGCTACATGGACTTCGTTATAGTGTTTCTTGAATTATCTTCAACAGAGTGTGTGATTTGAGAGAGAACGAGGAAGTTGCAATGACTTTATGACCCCTAGTCTTAGAAGTCAGACATTACCTCTTCTGTCTCATTCTATTTGTTGCACATGGACCAGCTTATATTTAAAAAGGAAGGAGCTAGCTGTACCTGTTAAAATTAGGAGTATTAAAGAATTTACACATTTTAAAAATATCACCACAGATGTTCTTTGGCCAAGGAGCAGCATGATAGCTGTGTGATAGACTCACTTAAAGGTTTCATCCTCCTGCTTTTGCTTTTCTTAAGACACTTGTGAGACTATGAAGAGCAGAAACTCTACTCCTTGTAAAGACATTTAAAAATGTAAAGTCAACAGTTCCATTCCACTACATAGTGGTTAAAGTGCTCTGTTGCTAAAGGTCAGCAGTTTGAACCTACCAACTGCTTCATGGAAGAAATATGTGGCAGCCTGCTTCTTTAAGTGGCCTCACTTCTACCACATAGAGATTCTGTACCATAATGATCAAGAGATCTAAGACTGAGAATCTAACAATTTTGAATTTGACCCCTAGCTCCCCTACTTGCTAATGGAGTATCCATGAAAAAATACCTTAAACTTCCATTTCTTGATCTGGAAAAGAAGAAGCGTTAGTAGAAATGGCCTAGTAGGTAAGGATTTATGCCACTAACCCAAAAGCAGGTAGTTCAAATCCACCCACTTCTCTAAGAAAGATGGGCAGTTTCCTCCCATGTGATTTCCAGCCTCTGAAAACCTGCTGGAGGGTCAGCTATGAATCGGTTAAAATGTATTTTAGGAGTCTTTTTAAATCTCAGAATGTATTCAGCTATGAGCAAAAAAGTGATCGCTCCAACCCACCAGCCAGTCTACAGAAAAAAGGATGTGACCGACCATCTGTGTAAACAATTACAGCCTCAGAAACCCTGTGAGTGATTTACTCGGCCCTGTAACATTGTATGAGCTGTAATTGACAGCAGTGAGTTTGAGTGGATCTCAAAGTGTCATTTGAACATTAAATAAAACATTACATATAAAATACTTAAACCTGGACTGGTAAATATTAAGCATTCAATACATGGCAGCTATTAAACTATTGATATTCTGCTTTCACCTGAGACAAGAGATTGTCTCAGAGATGGCCATACTTATCTGCATGATGTTCCTGTTTCCGTCACCATTGTTTGGTTGGTATTTTTTATCACCATTGCTGCTTCTTACACCTTATCAAATTCTGAGGGACCCTGTTGACCTCTGCCAAATAGTTGAAGACTATGTCTCCATAAGAACAAATTCTCGTGGCAAACTAAAGCCAGATTCTTCTTGGATTAGTTCCTTGATCCATTGATCGGAACCTAAATCCAAGAAGAGAGAGCTCAGGCTGCCTTTATGGTAGCACAGTTTTTATTTCTGCCACTGAATTGGTGGAGAATAATTCCTTCCAGAGCCCAAAGCTAAGAGACGATGCCTTTACAGAAAATGCCGCTTCTGTTTTGAGCTATAGAAGGAAGCTGACAGGTTATTTTGAATCAAACCTCAAATCACTTCAGGGTAAAGCACATAAAAGAGTCTCCAGGGAGTTGGAAAACGTGTTTGTTCTGTGGTATGTTTAGAGAATTTTTTTTTAATGTACTAAAAGTGTACTGACAAAAATTTTGATGGGTTCATATTAAATATTTATGTATTTAAAGCAATCAAAGAAACCCTTTATAGTTCATTCTCTGTTTTCTCTCCAGGTATTTAGTCTTCCTGCAGATCAAAAGGGATCTCTACCATGGCCGCCTCCTCTGTAAAACATCGGATGCTGCCTTGTTAGCAGCCTATATCCTTCAAGGTAATGGGGTTTGACAGTATAAATTTGCTTTTCATGCTAAATATTGGTTACATTATTTCTGTTCCACAGATGACTCTTTCTTGGACAGAGACAGTATCAAATCCAAAGCAGAGTCCAAGCCTGAGGATTTTGCCTGGATTCCCCAGAGCTAGTAAACCCTGAATATTCAACCCAAAACTGTACATGAGGTCCTACCAACCATCATTCTGACTCTGCTGGGGAGATCTGTCCTGAACCCTTAGTTAATAAGGTTCCAAAGACTCTGGGGAGTAACAGGAAGCAATCCTTCCCACACTGTCATGCAAATCTCCAAAATGCGAAGCATCTGTTATCATTTCGGAGACCTTTTAACTCTGAGTACTTCAAGTAGAAAATGTTTTCAAGTAATAAGTACATTCCTTAACATGCTAATAAGGAAGAGTTGGCACTATACCCAGCAGATGTCCAAATTGGCTTTTTTAAAAAAAGGGTGGGAGAACTTTGATATAAACTCTTCACATGTGATCCTTTCCCCTTTTCTGACATACGGATGGGGTTTGAATGTCACTTCCTAGATTCTTCTTAGTCCTTAGACCTGAATTGTCATTACCACGGGACCTGTTCGGGCCACAGTGCTAAAATCACGATGTTTCCATCATAGCCTTATACTTGGAAATGTGTGGACTGCCAGAAGCTGTTTTGTAAAGACAGACTAGATAGGTTTAGCCAATAAAAGACTAAAGCCCCTCTGGCTTTCTCTCCCTCTGAGAGAAATATTATAGCTGTTTTAAGAAACATTGAGCTCATCTCTCTCAACCTTGACTTCTGAGACTCCCGTTTTAAAAATTCTCTAAATGGGAAGTGTCTAGAAGAAGCTTGCTGGCTCTAAGCTACTCAAAGGGGCCTCTCACGAACCCGGTCTAAGTGAAATTTTAAACTCCATTCTTTCCTTCAGTTTTACCTTGACAATTGTGTTGAGATTTTCTATTTTGTTTTATTTTTTGCCTTTGGAGAATTTTTTTTATTTGAAACACTGATGTTGTCTAGGGACTTTCTAAATAAAATCATAATAAATGTCCATGGCTAAGGGTCACTCTAAACTTTGAGCCCAATGGAGCCTTTAGTCTCTTGCTAAATGATAGCAATTCCCAAGTAATTTGGAAGTCACTACCAGTACATGTGGTGGAAAAGCACTGGCCGCAAGTGCAGCAAGCAGCTGTGAGGGAAGAGCAGGTTCCCCTCTTAGTGTGTACCCCTCGCTCAAGACTTCTCAACTGAACTGATTGTGGCTCTCACAGGGAGGGGATGGGGCACCCACAAGTCGGTGGAAGCATGTCCCCCTCTTATACTCGCCATGCTCCCTCCAGGCATTTCATGTGGAAAATGCTGGGTTCTGTCCTCTCAGAATGCATTGTGAATGTACCACAGGCTCACTGCATCTTAGTGGCTTTGGGAATAGTAGAGTTTGACTCTCTGAATGGCCAGAGAAGGAAGCACTACTAGGCAGAGAATGGAGAGAAGCCAGCCTTCGAACGTGGTGCTCCTGGACTCTATGACCTTCATGGCTACCACCAGTCTTTTAGCTGTGATTCTCTTGAGCGTGCCTGGCACTTGCCCAGCCCTCAGTGACAGTTTATCTGTTTGATTTGATTTGAACTGAAAGTTGAGTTCTCAGTTTGGATCATGACTTGTTCATCAATTTGCTGCTAAATCCTCAAAAACAAGATTATGATTTCTAATATGGCTCAAGCCCAAGAAGTTCCATCTTCCTGATTAAACTCCGTTTCCTGTGTTGACACACAGAGCAGTGCTCCAAGGCCCTCTTCTCAAGGCTGGATGGATAAGGACTATTTCACAAGCTTCTGCTCTTTTATTACAGATTTATTTGTGGTGATCCCAGAATACAGGGTCAACACTCCTATCTCTTTTTAAACTTGAATGTCAATCCTGGGTACATGAATGGGGAGAGAAAAAGCTGGACACGCTCCTGAGAGATTTGTCCTCTTGCCCTCTCCAGCCCTTAGCCGTTCTCAGGATCCGCTGCTCTTTGTAAATGTGATTTGTGCTTTGGCTTTTGTGCTGGATGTTAATCTCTTCATTGCTTTTCCAGTAATGATTGACTTGTCTCCCAAATTACTTTGTTTTTAAAGCGGAGATTGGGGATTATGATCCAGGAAAGCATCCGGAAGGCTACAGCTCCAAGTTCCAGTTTTTCCCAAAACATTCAGAGAAACTGGAAAGAAAAATTGCTGAGATTCACAAGACAGAGCTCAGGTGCGTGACAGTTGGTTCAGGCCCAGGACATGATGAACGTGCCACAGCATGAGCACATGGGCTCTGTGTTGCGTGTTCTGCTCACGTAGACTGTTTCATGGCCCGCGGTGATGCTCCCAGACTTCTTAACTTCGAGATGCATCATTTTCAGTGATCCTCTTACAGCACAACTCCAAGCCCTGTAGGCCCGCTTTCCAAGACAAGTAGTCTGGACTTGGCTTTAAAAGGCAAGAGATAAATTGTAGGGGAAAATAGAGAGGGACAGGCCTTTGGAAGCTATTAGCTTCATTAAGATAAATCAAGAGACACAGAAGGAAGAGAAAAACAACATGAAGTGAGGAATAGGAAAACATGAAAGAAACTTCAGAGGAGGGGGGGAAGGATGGAAAAAGAGAGGAGAGGTGAGTGGGGATCTGACCGTGGAGCAGACCTCTGCCCTCAGTCTGTGAGGGTAACGCCTATGTCAGTGGTAGATGATGACAGAGGGCTGACCCTGATTCTCAAGTGCTATGGGTATTTCAGAGTCCCTACATGATCCCAACATTTAACACATTCCACGGCTAACCTGAATGGTAAAGGTTCAGATCGACCCAGAGTTCAAATCCACCTTAGAAGAAAAGCCTAGTGATCTGTTTCCAGATAATGGGACCTTGGAAGCCCTGTAGAGCACAGCTGTGCTCATATGCCTGGCATCACCAGGAGCCTAAAGTGACTCAATAGCAACTGGGTTTTTTGTGTTTGTTTAATAATTGTATTTATTGTTATTCACAGAAAAACATACACAATTTAATAGTTTCTACGCATGTCACTTAGTGATATTGATTAGGTGGGGGTTTCTTTAGTTACATAATCATTCTTACCCTCCTTTTCTGAGTTGTTTCACCCCATTTACAGACGCTCATTGTCCCCTAAGTTCCTGTCATATTTTTTGAGTTGTTGTTATATGCTGTCAAGTCACCTGCAGCACATAATGACCCTATATACAACAGCTCTGAACCCTGCTGTATCCTAAGCCAACCTTATTGTCTCTGACACACCTACACCCTCCCCCCATTATCCTAGTCACTGAGTCAATCCATCTCATCGAGGGTCTTCCCCTCTTGTGCTGTCCCTCCACCCTCCCAAGCATGATGTCCCTCTTTAAGGACTGGTCCCTTCTTGCAACATGTCCAAAGTATGTCAGACAGAGCTTCAGAATCCTTGCCTCCAAGGCACAGCCTGGTTTCATTCATTCTTTCTAGGGCAAACCTGTTCGTTCTCCTAGCAGTCCATGGTATATTCAGTCCTCCCCTCCAGCACCACAGCTCAAAGGCATCAATTCTTCTTCTAACATCCCTAGTCACTGTCCCTAGTAATTACATCCCTAGTAATTGCAAAGACCATGGCCTGGATCAGGTGCACCTTAGTCTCTAGATTGACATTGTTGCTCTTCAATACTCTGGAAATGTCCCTGACAGCAGACTTCCCCAGTGCAGTTCATCTTTTGATTTCCTGGCTGCTGTTAGCAAGAAATGATTGTGGAACCAAGCAAACTAAAGCTATTAACAATCTCAATCTCTTCACTGTCTATCATGATGCTGTCAGTCAGCCCAGTGGTGAGAATCTTTGTTATCTTGATGCTGAGCTTCAATTCATACTGAAAGCTGCAGTCCTTGACCTTCTGCAGCAAGTACATAGTCAATTTGATCCCATATAAAGAGTTCTTAAAGAATGTAATGCTCAAGGCAGACTTTATCTACTAGTAGTATTAAGTTAAACCATTTTTTTATTTTAAGAAAACTTCAAAGGACATGTGTGGTTAAGGTTTACAGATCATCTCAGGGCAGTAGTTTTAGGGGTTTATCTAAACTTCATGGTTCAAGAAATTCTGGAGTTTGGGGAGCTCTGGTGGCCTAGTGGCAAGGAACTGCAACTACAATCCCAAAGGCGCATGGTTCAAATCCACCAGATGCTCTGCCGGGGAAGGAGGGACAATCTCCTGTACCAGTCAGATCTGATTTGACGGTACACTCACACAAAAATTAAAAAAAAAAAAGAAATTCTGGAGTCCATGAGAATTTGAAGTTCTTTTCTGCATTTTTTCCCTGTCTTAACTAGAATTCTTCTATGGAATTTTTAATCAAAATGTTTAGTAATGGTAGCCGGCACCATCCAGTTCTGCTGTCATGGCAGAGGAGGCAGTTATTCATGGAAGCAATTAGCCACACATTTCATAGCCTCCTGTTGCTGATTCTTCTTCTTCCTCTGCTGTTCCAGGCCGATAGAGAGCAATTGTATGTTGGGTGGCTGCTTGCAAGTGCTTAAGACTATGTATCACACGCGGAGGTAGAACAGAGGCACTAAACATATTCTTAGGCCAGTTAACTGGGATGACCCTAAACCTCCACACCAAGCCTTGTGAGGTTTTTGGTTATAAATAAACCTCAATAACTACTTTTCTTTTTGTTGTTGTGAATTTATCTACTGCATAACTCTTACCAATTCAACTTATTTTAGAGGTTCAACTTACTGATAGCAATTAAAATAACCTACTGTGCAGCCCTACCCTTACAACACGGTATTTCCATCACCGCTTTTCCTCTCCCCCCTGTCCTTGGTAACCACTGAAAAATTTTGTTCTCCATACAGTTGCCCTTTTTATCTGAAGTCCTTTTTTTGCATTTTTAAATTAATGATTTTTAATGCAACATATATCTTTTTTACAGCATATTCTTCCCATTTAATTTTTTCCATTCATTCATTGTTGCACATTTTCCTCCCTGCCCACCCCTCCCCCCAGTTCATTTTTCTCTTTGAAAAGAAAAAAAAATTCTTTCATTGTTACACAATCCCCCTCACTAAGTCCACAATATTTGTTCTTTTATGGTTGACTTATTTCAGTCAACATAAGGTCTTCTGAATCCATCATGTTATAGCAGGTGCCAAGGCTGCATTTCTGCTGTGGGCCGGTTAGTAGTCCTTTGTATGTGTGTACATTTTGCTTGTTCATCTGCTGATGGACATTTATATTGTTTCTACTTTTTTACTTTTCTGGGCAGGACTAACATCAACACTGATGTACAAATCTGTTTTTGAGCCTCTGATTTCAAGTCTTTTAAATTTAAACCTAAGAGTCGAATTGATGTTACTCCTATGCTTAGCTTTTTTTGAGGAACCACCACACTGTTTTTCATAATGGTTGTAGCACTTAAATTCCCATCAGCAGTGGGCAAGGTTTCCAATTTCCCAACATCTTTGCCAACATTTATCCTTTTCTAAAAGATGATTAGTCTTTTACCATTAATATTTACAGCCTCATAAACCAAATGGAGGGTCACTGTCAATCCCAACAGACTCAGTGGCTTTAAGCTCTTAGTCTTAGGGCACTACACAACACAGATTCCCTAAACTGTTAACTTGGGAAGTAGGAAGTTCCATACAAAGCAGTACTGTAAATACTATTGAACACAGTATTGTAAATAAATCGTAATGTCATCATTTTAATACATACAGTTTTTAAAAAAATATATTTTAAAATGCTGCTTAACTTCCTTTCTGGAAAAGGACTATGTAAAAAAAAAAAAGCCTGTCGCTCTTGCTCTCTTTCTCATTATCTTTCTCTGTCTGTGCGTGTGTGATTATACTAAGGTTTCCAGTCCCAACCTCATCCCTTCTTTCCTCCTTGAAAACAACAACAAACCCTTGCTTTCACAAAGACTGCAGGTTAAATTGTTTAGCAACAGATACATCCCCAAAGCCTCTCTAGCCTCTGTAATCAGGCCCCTTGCCTCTGTGTATGGCAGGACCGGTTCCCCACCTCCCCGGGGAATGCCGACCCCTCTCAGGGGGGGAACCTTGAACACTTCCCCTCCCTCTTGCTCTGAGGTAGGCCTTTCAGAGATGCAAGGGGCATGGAATGGGGAATGACACCTCCCAGCCACAGTTAGGAGAAAAGTGACCCCTTGTGGTAATGGCCAGAATGAACACGAGAATTCTTGGGGTTTCAGGAGGCAAAGGAGAGTTGGAGGACCTCACATAGGAAGAAGCTTTACCTAGCAGGTGTCAGAGGATATCAGCACAGTGAGAGTGCTCTCCCAGAAACCTCATCCAAGGCAAGGAATACCTGGGGAATGGTGCCTGCAAGGAGCCATGGTGGTGTGGTGTATTATGTGTTGGGCCCTTTAAATCAAAAGGTCAGCAGTTTGGATCCACCAACCACTCAATTTAAGATTTATATCCTTGGAAATTGATGGAGGGTCACCTAGTGGGAATTTACTCAAAGGCAGTGAGTTTTGATTTGGGGGTTTTTGTTGGTTTTGGTGTGGTTTGTTTTTTTGGGGTTTTTTGTTTTTGTTTTTGTTTGTTTTGTTTTTTTCCCCAGGGCCCTGGAGGTTTGGGCTGACAGGTCACAGGTTGTGACAGGAGCAGACAGGGCCCTTCAGCCTCCAGGCAGAGCTGCTTCCCACTGAGGGAGCTCCCTTGAAGGTTCCCATGCCCCAGACACGGCTGGTGACCACCCAGCCCTGCTGTGGGACAGTGTTCGCAGGGCATCCTGCCTACCTTCTAAAATCATTTTCCAAACATCTTTGGTGTGTCTAGTGTTTTGGTGACTGTAGAAGTTGGTTGTCACAATAATACATGCCTACTTACACAGTCCAGTCTCCTCTTCCCAGTGTCAGAAATGTGTCTATGTTTCTTTTCTTCCACTCTGTGAAGTCTCTTAAGGTCCAGATTGTACATTATATTTTATTTACTTAAATTGTATATTTTCTAGCATGTAGCACACAAATTGACATGCAAAGGTGTTGGTTGATGCCTCTCAAAGGGACTCCTAAGGGAACCTGGTCTGCTTCTCCCCTGGGTTGGCTTATCTTCCTGCCCTACTGTATTGAGTTTAGAAGTTAGCACCATTCAGTCCTTCCCTCCAGCCATCAGAGTTGTTGTCCCCACAGACCACCCACCCTCCACATACTCTAGATGTGCATCTGCTCTGCCCACATCCTGGGCCCAAAAGAGAACCCGATGGTGATACCACCCCTGGATCCATATCCTGTGGGCTCTGATGGGAAAGAGCTGGGGCCACTGCCCTAGGAGAAGGAGGACTTATCTTTTTAACACGTTGCCACACACTTTTAAATTGAGATTGCTTAGAAACACTTTTTTTTCCCGTCATTTGCGGCAGCGTGTTAATAAACCAGAAACTCTAGTGATTCTGGGCTTCTCAGTGCGTTCGATGCAGAAAGTACTGTGCAACTTCCCATGATCCATACTGTCTTTTTTTTTTATTTTAATGAAAATTTACAGAAACTTTAGATTTCCACTCATTCATAGTTGCACATGTTCCATACTGTCTTATACCCAGTCCACATCACTCATTACGAAACCTGCCTAACCTATGAAAGCATCTGTTTTTAATCCCAGGTATTAGTCTCTAAAGTTGGTCCTGAAACAAAAGAGAGCATGTCTTGCCTTGAGACCCTATTTTGTGTTGTTAGACTACATACAGTGAAAACATATACCAGTTCAGATTTCTTTGTGTGCATTTCACTGACATTGATTGTTGTTTTATGCCATCGAGTCGCTTGCAACTCATAGTGACCCTATGTACAACAGCTCTAAACTCTGCTCTGTCCTGTGCCAATCTCATTGTCTCCAACACACTCATCCCGATTGCCCTAGTCACAGAATCAGTCCACCTCCCAGAGGGCCTTCCCCTCCTGCGCCTGCCCTCCACCCTCCCAAGCATGATATCCTTCTCCAAGGACCGGTCCCTCCTTACAATATGGCCAAAGTATGTCAGATGAAGTTTCAGAATCCTTGCCTCCAAGGAGCAGCCTGGTTTAACCTTCTCCAGCATGAATCTGTTTTCTTAGCAGTCCATGGTACCCTCAGCACTCTTCTCCAACACCAAAGCTCAAAAGCATCAATTCTCCTTCTATCCTCCCTGGTCATTGTCCAGTTCTCTAACACATAGCAAGTGATTGCAAAGGCCATGGCCTGTACCAGACACACCTTAGTCTCCAGAGACACACCTTGCTCTTGAGTACTTTAGAGAGGTCCCTAACAGCAGACTTCCCCATCACAATACGTCTTTTAATTTCCTGGCTGCTGGTGCCAAGAGTATTGATTGTGGAGTCAAGCCGGCTAAAGCTGTGAACAATCTCAATCTCTTCACCATCCATCTTGATGCTGCCAATTGGTCCAGTGGTGAGAGTCTTCGTCTTCTTGACATTGAGCCTCAATCCATATTGAAGGCTGCAGTCCTTGACCCTCTGCAGCAAGTGCTTCAGGCCCTCCTCAGTTTCAGCAAGCAGAGTTGTGTCATCTGCATAACGCAGATTATTGATCTTCCACCAATCCTGATGCCGCATTTCTCCTCATAGAGCCCAGCCTCCCAGATGATCTGTTCTGCATACAGGTTGAAAAGGTATGGAGACAGGACACATCCCTGGTGTACGCCCTTCCCAATTTTGAACCATGCAGTGTTCCCTTGCTCTGTTCTGACGACTGCCTCCTCGTCCAAGTATAGGTTTCACATTAGCATGATCAAGTGTTCTGGGATTCCTATTCTTCTCAGAGTCAGCCACAGTTTGTTATGATCCACACAGTCAAATGCCTTTGCATAATCAGTGAAACACAGACATTCTTCTGGTATTCCCTGCTTTCAGCCAAGATCCATCTAACATCAGCTACAATATCCCTAGTACCACGACCCCTTCTAAACTCAGCCTGGACTTCTTACATTCTTTAAATTGTACAACCATTCTTACAGTCCTTTTCTGTGTGATTCATTTCCATTAACAAACTCACCACCCCCAAGGTGCCTATCTAGTTTTCTGAGTTGCCATTGTCAATTTTATCCTGTATCACTCACATATTCCCTGCCATCAAGTCAATTCCAACCAATAGTGACCCTCTATTGAGTTTCCAAGGCTGTAAATCTTAATGGGAGGAAACTGCCCATCTTTTTCCTGCAGAGACACTGATGGGTTCAAACTGCCAGGGATGCATGGCCTTTGTTATGGACTATGCCACCAGCATATGGCTTTGATCCCATAGATGTAGATCTTAAAGAGCAGAATCTCAAAGCTGACATTCTTTATGAATTAAGCTAAGTCATTGTTTGGTTTTAAAAAAAGACTTAAAGAGATTTTTTTTTTTAAGTTTAAAGATTACCTTAGGGCAATAGTCTTTTGTTGTTGTTGGTTTTAGGTTTTTTAAATTTTTTTATTAACTAGTTTATTTACAAAATTCTAATAAGTTGGGTTTTCATACCAGATTCTTCCAATTTCCCTCACCCCCCTCACCCATCAAGTTGTACAACCCCATGATTAATCCCTCCACACTCACACACTCCACATATCCTCATCCTTCTTCCACCCTCTCCCCCCCTAGGATCTTTGTGTTCATTCTACAATAATGGTTTTATACAATATTTGTCTTTGTGACTGAGTTAGTTCACTCAGCATAATGCTTTCCAGTCTCTCCCAAGTTAGGTAATAATTTACAAAATCATTGCTCCTACGTGCTGTGTAGTATTCCATTGTATGAATATACCATAATTTCTCAATTCATTCGATTGTGGTTGGACATCTGGGATGTTTCCATGTTTTTGTGATGGTGAATGATGCTGCTGTGCACATTGGTGTACAAGTCCCCATTTATGCCTCAGTTCTCATTTTCTCAGGGTATATTCCAAGCAGTGGACTAGCTAAGTCATATGGAATTTTTATGTTCAGCTTTTTGAGGAAACGCAAAACTGCCTTCAAGAATGGTTGTACCATTTTACAATTCAGGGCAGTAGTTTTGAGGATTGAACCACCCTCCATGAATCCAGAAAGTCTAGAGTTCATGGAAACTTAAAATTTTATATTTTTCTCCGTTGTGGGCAGGATTCTTCTATAGAATCATTGATAAATATGTTCACTAATAATAGCTCAATATCAAGAAAACAAAGATTTCTCACCATTGGGCCAATTGGCAGCATCATGATAGATGGAGAGGAGATTGAGATTGTTAACAGTTTTTGTTTGCTTGGCTCCACAATCAACACTCTTAACACTAGCAGTCAAGAAATCAAATGATGAATTGCATTGGGAAAGTCTGCTGTCAAGGACCTCTCCAGAGTGCTGAAGAGTAAGGATATCAGTCTGGAAATTAAGGTGTGCCTGATCTAGGCCATGGCCTTCGCAATTACTTGGTATGTGACAGAGAGCTGGATAATGACTAAGGATAATTACAGAAAGATGCCTTTGATTTGTGGTGCTGGAAAAAAAGTATTGAGCATACTGTGGATGGCCAAGAGAACAGATCTGTCCTGGAAGGGTGAAACCAAACTGCTCCTTGGAGGCAAAGATTCTGAAGCTCTTTCTCACATACTTTGGGCATGTGACCAGGAGGGACCAAGGAACAGCATGCTTGGAAGGGTGGAGGGACAGTGCAAGAGAGGATGAAATGGAATGACTCAGTGACTAGGGTTATAGGGGTAGGTGTGGGAAACAGTGAGATTGGCTCAGGATAGGGCAGGGTTCAGAGCTCTAGTACATAGTGTTGCTATGAGTTGCAGGTAATTCAACAGCATGTAACAACAACAACAACAATAATAGTTGAGTACTATTCAGCTTTTACTCCTAGTCACAGAAAAAGGAGATAATTCTCAGACATCTCATAACTGCCTACTATTCCTAGCACTTCCACTTGCTATGTTTTTGAGGCAAATAGAGACCGATTATTGTGCCTTGAGTGGCCATTAGAAGCTTTTAAGACTCCAGGCACTACACAATGAAACTGTGAACTCAAAGTTAGAAGAGAAACACTAAGCATATGATTAGGACAGTGAACTGGGATGTCCCATGAAACTGTGACCCTAAACCTTCAAACTAAGGACTTGAATCTGATGAAGTGTTTGATTATACATAAGCAGCCTCAGCAGCTACTCTTGGTCTTTTTGTTTTTAGAAACAGGGTGGGCCTTGGGGTGGCTATTTTTGTAAATATATATATCACATAATTTTTTTCATGTGCACAACTTACTGATAGCGACGATATTACTTGCATGCAGAGCCCAGCCCTTAATCAGTATGATTTTTCCATCACCGTAAAGCAAAAGTCAGTACTTCATAAGCAGTAACCCTCCTTTCTCCCCACCCTCCTGCCACAGAGCATTTCTTAATAGTTTATCTCTCTATTAGACCCCTGGGTATAGAGAGGCCTGAATTGTCTCCTTTTCTTTATTCCAGTGGTCAGACACCAGCAACCTCAGAGCTGAACTTCTTACGGAAAGCGCAGACATTGGAGACCTACGGGGTGGATCCCCACCCGTGTAAGGTAAGCATCCATGGTTGGGGAAGGCGCTGACCTTGATCCTCCAGAGGCCAACAGGCAGCAAAGGACCAGGTGTCAGTGCCTGTGGCCCCTTCACCATCTGAACAATTGACTCTTTCAAGTGACAGATGCTAAAGAAAACATCCAAATCTGAGAACTTGTCTAGATTCCATGCTGCATAATTTTTGTGATGACACATCAATGTTGAAAGCAAAGTCAATCTAAATAACAAATCTGACTTTGGCAGCAGTGGGTAATTTGGTGGAAATGAAGAGAAAAGGAGTATGGAAGGCTCCCGACAGGGACCGATTGGAGACGCCTCGGGAAACTGTCCACCCTCCCTTGACCCGTAACCCACTTCCTTTCCAAGAATGGGTTTTATTGACAGCAGTAGCATAAGGAACTGCAGAGGAGTCACATTTAATTCCATTATGCGCCTGAGAGGGTGAGATGGGGACCAGCCGGGGAGGCTGTGCCCAGAGAAAGGCTCTGTAATTACTCACACGTGTCTGGTCTTTTGAAGATGCGCTCAGGCTGCAGTAGTCACCACTGAGAGAAGTGGGGGCCGCTCACCTCCTCCTGCTCTTTCTGGGGCTGACACCTCCTGCCTCATCTCCACATCCCTATTGCGTGATCACTCCTGGTCTCTGCCTCAGTTTCTCTACCTTTTTGTCCCTCATTCTTTCCATTACCAGACAAGCTCCTTTGCCACCAGAAAAATGGACTCTCAAACTGGTCTGAAGGGAGGATGATAAGAAAGGGGGGGGAAAGAGGTCCACTTTATCTGAAGAGACAGGGTAAGTGTCAAATAGAAAGAAAGGAGTAGAAGCAAAAACGAGGAACCCAGTGACATAGGAGGGACATGTTTCCCTTGGTCCCTTGGTGATGAAGTAATGTTGATTTGTCCTTGCCTAGAATTGAATATTGAGCATTTTATTACTTCTGATATGAATCTTGAGGACATTCTGATGCTCTGAAAGTCTGGGTACCATCCCGGTCAACAGTTCTCTGTTCACTAGCTCACCTAGAAAACATAATTAGGATAACCCTTGTGTTCTTAGGGGCCAGCAGTCAGAAAATACATTCATTCTAACTTTTTAAAAATTTTTATTTTATATTGGCTTGCATACAAAGTTTGTATACATTGTGTTTCACACTATGACATTGTGTTTCGTTCATACTGTGTTTCATAAAATTATTCCCATTCGTTAAGTTTTAAAAAATCACCATTGAACTATGCCTGCCATTACATTCATGCTGATTTATACTGAAGAATTGCCATGTAGATATTTACAAATGAATTAGCGAAGCTTCCTAAATCATGTTCTCTAAATAATGCATAACAGATCTAGTTTAAACCTCTCCATAAAGCGCTGAGATACTATCATCAGAGAACCCACACAGGAATGAAGAGGGTTTTGCAGTCAGTGGGCCCTGGCCTGCCCTGACCTCCTCGGACCCTGGGTTCTTAGAGGTGTCTCTGTACCTCACTTCCTTATCACAGTACACCATAGGTGCTCAATAATTATGTCCTCTAAATGACTGAGTCACTCCGGGACCTTAAAAGTCATAGCTGCTTTGGCGCTTTGGCCCCCACAAAGAAAGGTGGTGAGAAGAAAGGCCGTTCTGCCATCAACTAAGTGGTGACCAGGGAGCACACCATCAACATTCACAAGTGCATCCATGGAGTGGGATTTAAGAAGCATGCTCCTCAGGCACTAAAGGAGACCCAGAAATTTGCCATGAAGGAGATGGGAACACCAGGTGTTCGCACTGACACCAGGCTTAACAAAGCCATCTGGGCCGAAGGAGTAAGGAATGTCCATGTATGGTTATTCAGAAAATGTAATGACGAGGAAGATTCCTCAAATAAGCTGGATACACTGGTTACCTATGTACCTGTCACCACTTTCAAAAATCTACACACCATCAGTGTGGATAAAAATTAATAGCTGATTACCAAGTAAAGTTATATAAAACCGTTTTTTTTAAAAGCCCTAATTGCCTGAAGATAAATATGTTATCTGAAGGTCATCTTTGAGTTTGACCCGAACTGGTACAGTATCTTTGAGACCACACATAGCATTGACTTTTCAAAGAGACAGGGTCCTTCCTAGTCACAGTCCAAACCCACACATACCCCAGGCCCTCTTTTTGTAAGTAGTTTGCCTATTGTCAAGCAGATAGGTAGGCTGAGGAGGCAACAGGATGGGACCAGTGTGAGGCCCAGTCTCATATATGACATCATCCCGTCCCCACAGCAACTCCTAGAAGGAAGAGGAACAGAGAGAGGGAGGAGGATACATTTGTGGCACACCCTCCAGGGCAGGCCTAATGGAGTACTTTTGCATTCTTTTCACATTTAAACTTCACACCATCCCTGGGAGGTGATAATGTTCTCCCTGTTTCATAGATAAAGCTGACTTTCCAAGAGGCACAGTTCACAAGGCCCTAAGTAGTAAAGCAAGATGTGAAGTCATGTTTCCACATACCAAGTCTCCCCTAGGAGACATGCTCTGGGGAGAGGGGAGAGGCTCCCAGGCCCAGGCCTCTGGCTCTGCTGATCATATCAGAGTCCTGCTGCAGACCCCACATATGGCCTTTCAGCTCATTTTTCAGGCTCCAGCTCACACTCTCACAATTTCTACTGCCTTCCCAAGCAAAGAGAACAGTTTGGGAGTCTTAACTCTTGTCATTAAGTAGAGTCACCAAGCACATTGCTTTAATGTTGCTACAAGGAGAGCTGAAATAAGCTGGAGCACTTGGTGTAATAAATACTGATGATTTCTATTAACAGAGAGGCAATTACTGGGCCCAGGGAATCTAGGGCATGCAGCTCTAGGGAGGGTAGAAGAAGAGGAATCATTTTGATAATTAAATGAGAGCAGAGCAATACTTTGCCTGGGCCCTGTTCTTCTGGACTGATTAAGAAGCACTGTCCTTCCTATGCACACTGTTGGTTTATTTCTGCCAGCATGTCCTATTCTAGCCTGGGACCAGGGCAAGCAGATCCTACAGATCCTTAGTGGGACAGCTGCAGGGTTCCTTAAGCCAACTGGCTTACAGTAATATCCAAGCCATGAGCTTGCACAAGACTCTTCTGTTCCTCAGCGTCTGACTTCTGGGAAAGCTGTAGAAAAACGGTGCAGGGCATCTGACCTCCTCTTACTTCATGAGGTGGGAGAATCGCCATCAGCATCAGACCATGGCTGATTCCCATGTTATTGTTATGTGACATTGTGTTGAAACTAACACATAGCTGTCCCTCTGGAGGGTTTTCAGGGGCTATAAACCACATAGGAGGAAATTATCTGTCTCCTTTGGAGCAGCAGATAGTTTTTGAACTGCATGCCTTTGGGTTAGCAACGTCAGAATATATCCACTATCTAATCTTTTTACTTCTTCTGACACCATTCTTAGCACTCTACTTCTTTGCTGGGTTCAGTAACTTTTTGCAGTGACCACACAGAACTCACAGATCATTCTCACAGTTATGAAGTTTATTAGGGAAGAAACAGGTTACAACTTGGGATGAGAATCACAAAGCATGTAGACAGCCCCCCTTCTTCACAACAGGATAGCTTTCTCAGTTCTCTCAGTCTTCCCAAGACAAGCCTCTTCTTGGCCCTCAGCCCTTGGCCCCACCCAGGCTTGGCCTCTGCCCTCCTTGGTTAAGTGTTACAAGGCTCTTGAGCCAATAAGTGCCGAGAGGCACCCAACTCCACCAAGAAGCCACCTTCCCAAAAGCTCTCAGCTCTTTTCATTCCATGATCTGCACAGTCACTGTAGGAATCCTGTCCCATGGCTACAAAGCCCACCACGCTGTCCTCACAGCTCTCCTGGGTCAGCCCTTTCTCTGCTGCTGTCACACTGTCTAGTATCCCATCCCTCTCTCCTGAGTATAGAAGGATCTCAGCATTGGGACAAGAAGAGACACTCTACTCCAGGCTCATCTTTTTTGATAATAGTGAGGTCCCCAGTTTCCACCTCTGGGAGTGACTCACTTTAAGCCTAACAGAATGGCAATATTGATCAATGCATTCGTTAAGGTTCCACACACCTTATTTTCATTGGTTCCAGCCACATAAGGGTGCCATGCACCTTATTTGCTTTATTACAAGCTGTCTAATCTCCTTGGTGAGCCCCAAGCACTTTATCTGCATAGATCCATCCATCACTCTGTGGAAGTCCAAGACTATGCATGGCCATGATGGGCATACTAAGTTGTTCACTATACCACAAACTCCAGCCAACCTAGCCTACAGCAGCTGGGAGAGGAGACGAACCAACAGCTGGCAAGCCACTGTTGCCTCTATTCCCCAGTCCTGACACCTCTCGAGCCTCAGGAGCCACCACACCCAGGTGGCCATGAGCTGACTAGCAGTTTGCCCTGGGGGGTCCTACAGGCCTGGACTGTGAGTGCACCAGGCGGATTCCAGGACCTGACTCGGGGTTCAGAGTAGCTCAACATGTCACAGGTCTCAGCCTTATCATAAGTCGTGAGGGTGCCACTTACTGAGAGCTTGCAGGTGTTAGGCACTTACATTATCCTACTAAATCAAGATCTTTTTGTCCCCATTTTAACAAAAGACCACCAAGACTATAACACACTAACTACCAAGTGTAGAGTTACTGGAAAAGACAGTCTGGAACTCTGACCCAGAGCTATCTGTTTCTCAGTGCTGTGCATTTTCAGTTCTCACATGTGGTCTTCCTTCTGGAGAGAGGTTTACTTAGAAACAAAGCAGGAGTCATTGCCAATTCTGAGACAGAGAAGAGGAAAAGACCAATAAGATTACTAAAATCATTGTAGTGGTGGTGGTGTTGTGTGCCATTAAGTTGGGAGTAACCCATAGCTGACCCTCCAGCAAGTTTTCAGAGGTGGTTAATCACATGGGAGATTACTCAGCCTTCTCCCATGGAGAAGCTGATTGATTCAAACCACATACCTTTGGGATTGCCACACAGCTTCTCACCACTAGGCCACGAGAGCTCCCTAAAAT